AATAACTGTGGAATCCCTCTGACTATGTTTGGAGGAAGGAGGGGGATGGAAGGAAGGAAGGATGGATGTGGAGAGAAAGAATGAAAATTTGTTGGATAAAATAAAAAAGAGTTTATCACCCTTATTTAAATGTATTAGTTTAATACTTAAGGGTATAATAGTAAAAAAACAATACAACCTCTTTCCTTCCCTTCCGCTCAACCAAACAAAGGAGGGATGGACGCCTTCCCTTCCCTAGGGGTGTCTCTTTTTCCTTCCTCCTATGGTCCTGCCCCCTTCAATTATTCATTTCCTTATGCCAAACGAAGTATGAATATTCTTCCCATACTTGTCATGTCTTGTTAATATCAAGTTAATTGCCGATCAAGAAATATACTATCCAATTCACACTAACTAGACTCTTATTTTAATTTTTCATAAATAGGGACTCAGATAATGACTCAAATAGCTACCCATTGATTGGCCGACCCCACTCATATGGAATTAAGACAATGGTTATGATGATCAATCAACTTAATATTTGGCCTGCATGACAGTCATGATATGGGTATCTAATTTAATGACGGGTCTCACAAAAAAGTTAATTCCCACAATTTGTTGTGGAGTGTATGAATAATGGGTCTCAGAACATTGATGGCCTAATCACAGTTCGGCTGGTTCAACCTCACGTTTACTCACTGGTTCATTCCTTTTCAAAGGGGGGTGTTACATTTTAATTGTGCTAACTAATAAGCAACAGTATAACAGACATGGTGGTTTTGGTTTATGAATGGATCAATGGCAGAGCTGTGTTCAAATCTCATTCACAAAAAGCTATGACGGGCCTCACAAAAAGTTAATTCCCACAATTAGTTGTGGAGTGTATGAATAATGGGTCTCAGAACATTGATGGCCTAATCACAGTTCAGCTGGTTCAACCTCACGTTTACTCACTGGTTCATTCCTTTTCAAAGGGGGACGTTACATATTTATTGTGCTAACTAAAAAGCAACGACATAACAGACATGGTGGTTTTGGTTTATGAGTGGATCAATGGTGGAGCTATGTTCAAATCTCATTCACATCGAGCTTCTATTTAATAGTTAAAATTATTTCAATATTTTAACTTATAATGTGAACTGGGGTCCAACCAAGGGTCTAGTTTTTCTGTTCACCAATTCAACTGCCGGGGTCCAGTTTTTTTTTTCCTCCTTGGTGGGGACCAGTTTCGGTAACAAGTTATGATACATTTCTTACTGCTGGCGTTGTGTGGATGAGTCATATGACCATGTGGCTTATATATATGTTTGTGTGTAAATTTCTATATATGCATATATGCAGGAGATACTTTTTTAATGGTCGTCTTTCATTATATGATTGCCTTTTGGCTTTCTGCAGGGAGTACCCGAACAGAAGCTTCGAGCTCATTTAGGTTCCTTTGGTGTAACTGGAAATCTTGCTCTTCAGCCAATGTACACCTTGTCTGGTAATTTTCTTTTCTAATTTTCTTGCAGTTTTCAGTTACTGTAAGGAATTTCATTTCATATGCTTAAACTTTAGTTAACTTGGATCTCGAGGAGACTAGTGCACGTGGTTAATTTAGTTGGTCCATTGGAAAACCATATCCTATTATTGAGTTGAAATTAATGGGTTGCCTAATGAGTACACGGACAAACTATTTTGTCTGACAGTGTATTAGATCTCAATAATGACAACAGCCTTTAGCAGCATTATTAGCAGCATTATTTTTTTTCTAAAGGTTTCCCCACATTTGTTGTAAAATGCTATGGATGATATGACAGGTGGTCAGAAAAGCAGAGTTGCATTCGCAAAGATAACTTTCAAAAAGCCTCACATTATACTGCTTGACGAGCCATCAAATCATCTTGTAAGTTTCTATCATTGTTTTCTTGGCTTCATATGTTTCTTCAAAATATATGTACATATCGGAGGAAGTGAAATGATGCTTTACCATCATGTGATATTAGTCGATAGCGGATAGCATGATCCATCACAATCTTAATCCAAACGTTTTAGGGTAATTGCAGTTGGGTTTTTGGATATGGTGTCTTTATTTTTCTTAAAAAAGTATGGTGTCTTTACTTATTCTTCAGGAGTGATGCTTGCAAGGGAAGTTCACTGGCTAGCATCCTCCCATATTTATCGTGTTACTGGATTCGCTATAATAATTTGGCATTCCCAAAATTTTGGATATGGTGTCTTTATTTTTCTTAAAAAAGTATGGTGTCTTTACTTATTCTTCAGGAGTGCTGCTTGCAAGGGAAGTTCACTGGCTAGCATCCTCCCATATTTATCGTGTTATTGGATTCGCTATAATAATTTGGCATTCCCAAAATTACGTTTTATCATATTATACCTCATTCAACTTCTTCTTCTTTTTTATTTTTTTTTCCATAATTCCTCATTGAACATCATTATATCCTTTCTAAGAAAGCTGCCTTTCAGATTTTGGAAGTATCCATTACAAAAACAAAATGAAAAAATTATGACCTTGACTGCAATTTTATGACGTTGCATTATTTTTGTAATGTAGGATTTGGATGCTGTGGAGGCATTAATTCAGGGTCTTGTTCTTTTCCAAGGAGGCGTGCTGATGGTATTTTGCCACTTCCTGTCAATTTTCATTTGCAACAACAGCAATAATACAATCATGTTCAGGAATTTGTTTGAGTTAACCGCACCTTCTCGATTTTGCACTTGCAGGTAAGTCACGATGAGCATTTGATATCTGGAAGTGTAGAGCAGCTGTGGGTGGTTTCTGAAGGCAGGGTAACACCTTTCAATGGGACATTCCACGATTACAAGAAGATCCTTCAATCTTCCTAAGAACCTTGTGTTAACTATACCAGCTGAGTAGGGGTAATGATAGAAAGTTCTGCAACAAGCATCATGCTATGTGCCCTTACAGAATATGCGGCTGTTTTAGAGCATCTTCCTGTCACGATGTTCTTACAGAATACATGTTTTTTTTTTTTTTTTTTTTTTTTTTTTTTTTTTTTTTCCCCCCGGTGGTGGGCATTCTTGAGTGAAAACAGTTGTTACAGGATGAATGTTTTTCATGAAGAGTTACTTATCAAAAAAATATAAGGTTTAACATTTTCTTTTTGCACGAGGGGTAGAATATATTTCTTTAACATTTAGTGTCAGGCTATGAAAAATGGAAACACATTTATGGTGCTGGGGTTATTTGCCTAGAGCACCCGAAGTGCAAGAAAACGCTGAAATGATGGGCATGCCATCTGCAGGATTTGTAGGAGGATAGCTTGGAAATATTATGGAAATTAGGGCTATAAATGAGGCAAACCAAGTCAAAGCTTGTGTCGAGCTCCACAATATTTAGCTTGGGTTTAGCTCATATAAGAGTTTTTGAGCGAGCTCAGATTGTTTGGCTCGTTTAGCTTAGTCTGAGACAAAGTTCGGCGAGGAGAGTAAATAAATCAGACAATTCTTGTTCAAGAGTCAGGTCTGAACTGATTAAAACTCGTTTCTTAGACTTCGTATGACTTGATTATTGTATAAAGCCATCTGGTGGAAAATGAGGAAACATACGTATCAAAGTTTTAAAAAAAGACACATAGCACACAAAATGCGCATCCAGGGAATCGAACCCTGGTCAGTACCGTGGGAGGGTACTATGATACCACTACACTAGATGCGCTTCTTGGTGCTTAAAAGAAGAAAAAATATAAATCAAAGAGTTGATTCCACATAGTATACCATGTGTTTTGACTTCACCAAGGCCTTGTTATTTTCTAATCAATCATCTACCATCCATTAGACGTATAAATGGCAATTAAGGCGATTCTTTATTTATATGGAAGGGAGACAATCTCATTGACGTGGCTCCAAAATGGTTTGGTTTCGGAGTTCCAGAAATGGTCAAGTGGGGTTTTGTTTCTTGGTAGATGGTGGAATGCTAGAGACAGGAGAGGGTGGTTTCTTTTTGGGTTCACTCTTTTGGATTTAAACAAGGAATTTGAGCCTTTTGACTTACAAATAAGAAACGATCCACAGATTTATCTAAAAAACATGGATTCCTTTGGCGAGCCAACCATCATACATAATTTTCACATCTAAATTTCATGATCCTATTGAATGTTTTTGTCAGTTCCAAATGGGTAAACAATAGGACTTTACACAAGACATGCACATTCCAATTAATTACTCTCACATGATTTGTTTGCCAAAAGCCAACAAGGAGAAGGAAAGGGTCTTTTTGATCCTTGGAAATCTGAAAATCGGAGATAATTTTGTTTTCTAAAATTAGGTTTATTTTAACTCTATTTTTATATAATCTTCACAAATCGTCAATCTAACCAAATTTTGAACTGTTTTATTTATATTTTTTGTGATAGCATAATATTATTTTGAAAAAACTGATTATAACAGGTACAAAATGAACACAGAAATCGGGTTGGGTCATGGACCAACCATTATAACAAATGGTAAATATGGTAAGATCAAAAAGAGATTTTAACTGTTGGAAGGACGAAAATGGTAATTTACATTAGCTAGCTTTAGGACACGTTGCTTCCTTAATCCTTATCCTTGCGTTTTTTGCATTCTTGGTCAGTTTGCCTCCCAAGGTATATAGTATTTGTAGCTTCTAAGTTTTGACCACCTATTACTTCAAACTGTAAATGATAAACACTATCAAGGGATTGAAAATATTTGTAGCTTGTAAAATATTTTTTAATTAAGTTTTTGTTTTAGTGTTTGATTGTGATAAAATATTTATTAAGAAAAAAAAAAGATAAAATTTAATAAAAATATTTTATTCATTAATTTTTGATAAATTATTTTACGTCAAAACAAAACAAAAGAATTAGTTTCTGATCTCTCTTTTTAATGTGTATTTACTTAATATATAATTTTTTTTTTTAAATAAAAATTATGGTGAATCTTTAACAATATGTATAATATGTTTTATTTTTATTTTTTCTCCTGAAATTGAATTTCATCAAAGATGTGTTCCATTTCAATATTTGTCACATGACATATCGCATATGTCCTGACCTAAATTGGATGATGACGGCTTGCACTTTGCCTTGTCACTCATATTATCCTTTTGCCCACTTGGATTAAGAAGCAAAGTCCAATACTTCATCAAACTTCTTACAACCAAAGTTGATTAATTAATCAACAATTAAATACGATGTGAATATTTTATGCATACGTGTCATATACATAGGATAAAAATTAGAACTGCATCAAACAAGCACATTTTCTCATATAGATATAGACTAATTAATATATATTTTGAATAGTTCTTACTGACAGAAAAAGTCCTAAATAAACATATCCCCACACAAATTGAACTGAAAACTTATGTCGAGTAATTTTTTTGTAACAGATTAATTTTGAGCACATGTCGTGAAGTCCCTTGACACAAATAAAACTTGATGAATCCAAAACCACGAGTTGTTCTTTGTAGGTAAAAAATTTAAGGGTGACAAAATGAGTTAGGAATCATCAACCCGTTTATATATGCTCGTCTTTTAATGGTTATGGGTGAATCATATTTAATTTGAGGTGAACCATATTTCACCCATCACATAATAAATACACAACACACGTGTATTATACATTACACTCAACTCATTTATCTCTCTAAAATTATCTCTCTAAATTTGTCTCTTATCAATCCGCTCTTTCTAAGTTTCTCTCTCTATAAACTTCTTCTAAAAAAATAAATAATTAAAAAAAAATTTAAAAAATAATTAAAAAATAAAAAAATAATTTCTTAAAAATAAATAAAAAATAATTAATTTTTTTAAAAATAAATAAAAAAATAAATACTTTATTTTATAAAATCAATAAAATTTTACCTTTTATTATTATTATTATTTTTATCAATATCTATATATATATAATCGGAAAATCTGAATTTAAGAATAAATCAACAAATGAAAAGGGAATCAAAAAGAAGGAAATGGATTACCTTTTTATCCAGCAGACATGAAGGGCCACCAATTAATGAGAAAGCTGAAAAAAGAAAAAGAAAAAGAAAAAGAAAAAGAAAATCTGGTGAGGGAGGTCCTATAGAGACACCAATGATAATATATATATTTTATTATTTAATTTCGGGTGAAATTTGAAAAGAAAATAGAAAATGCTAGAATATAATAGGTTGCGAAATGAAATTTTTTGGGGAATTGATGTTGTTACCAGATGTGACAGAGATGGTGACCATAAGAAAGTCCACTCTCTTCCTCTTTCTCTTTCTCGCCAGATCGATCTCTCCCTTCTCTTTGTTTCTCTCTCTTTTTTTTATTTTTTATTTTATTTTAAAAAAATAAATAAAATTTTAATCACCTAGTTGCGTTTTCTTAAGACACACGTGATAAATAATCAAACATATAATATATGTTAAATCATGTTAACATTTAATAAAAAAAATTAAAAATAATAATTAATAAGTTTACGGATTATAACGGATTGACCTTGTCCATTTTTAACTCGTTCTAAACGGAGTTAAATATGAATCTTGACCCATATTGACCCGCTCATTTTTGAACAGGTTAAATATGAATCTTGACCCATATTGACCCGCTCATTTTTAACCTAACCCAAACCTAACCCAATCACCCATTTGCCACCCATGCTAAAAACACACAAAAAAAAAAAAAAAAAAAAAAAAAAAAATAATAATAATAATAAATAAAAATTGATTCCGTGGAATCTCAAATAAATATTGAGGTGTAATTGATAGCAAAGTGTTTGAATGACTTGAATCAAGTTCAAAAAGAAAAGAGCGATCACACCCCAAGACAAAATTGGAAAGCTTTTACAAAAATATGACTTGACACTTCACTCATTGACAGCCAACCGTCCAACATACTCCTCTTGAGAACCATCCAACAAGATAAATTTGAAGACATGGCCATTAATTAATTAATTTTTATTTATTATTTTTATTACTCTATTCCTCTCAAAAAAAAAAAAAAAATTCACCTTTTTATTTTTATAAGTTAAAAAATAAATAATTTATTTGAAAAGTCAATATATTATTTTTATAATATTATTAATTTAACTTTCTTATATTGAAGTCATTAATTATAAAATTAATAATTCATTCACTACTAATATAATAAAAAAATAATAATTTTATTAACTTAAAAAGTTAGATTCTAAAGAAAAGGATGTATTATTTTTTTCATACTGATCATACTCAGGGAGGTAACCGATTGGAGTCTTAACTGAGAAGCCTGAGATAATATGGGGAGGTGAACGGTTAGAGTCTCACATGAAATAATATCACAGTGTATGATATGCGTAATTGTAACTTTCAGATATCTTTTAAGTTAAACGAATTATATCAAAGGCTTCAAAACACACAAGACAAAGTTGGATTAATTCCTATCAAGTAGGGTTGTAAATGAACTAAGCCAAGCTTGAGTCTTTTGTTTGTGGGCTCAATTCGGGATCGTAACGAGTTCAAAAAGCTAAATGGGCTCGACTTGTCATTCTTTTGAATACTTAAGATTGAGACTCGTTTAACAACAAAATCGTTCGAATTCGATTTTAGCTGACGTTCAAGAGTTTTTGATTTGTTCATAAATCTAACCGAGCTTACACAAGTTTACGTTTGTGAACATACTTTCATGAACGTATACAAATTTATGTTTATGAGCCTATGTTTACAAGCCCTATACAAATATATTCACGAGCCTACACGAACGGAATCTACTATTGTTTAAAATCGACTCGTTTACTAAACGAATCTATGAATTGAACTAAACTCAACTAACTCAACTCATTTATTTAATGAAGTCTCGTGTAAACTTTGAGCCAAACCTAAACTATCTATAAACAACTCAGTTGAATTACTCATAACTTTGTTATATGAAATTTGATTCCAAGTCAAATTCTAATATCTCAAATACCTTGTAAAACATGCCAAATTTTTGGATCGACCTCACTTAATCCAATTCAGAGTGAAATTATTCTATCGTTTCACCCCCAAATTAATCCAAGCCAGAGTGAAATCATTTATTTCCTCTCACTCACATGGCATCAACACTGTTCCCGGCATGATTTACTCATAAACCCAACAAAAAAACGTATGAATATGTGACTAGACACGCGTGTGTGTGTATATATATGAAACAAATCAAGAATTGCTATATATATATGTAAACAAACATATAATTTGCATGCATTAACCTAACATTGTACACATCCAAACAGAGTTACAGAAAGATACCAATCATGCATATATTCCTAGTGCCGGCCTTTTCCTGCCATTCACATTCAAAGTAACACACACAAATATATATATATATACACACGCACATCCCATTCATACGGTTCAACATGTCCTTTCCAATCTCCATCAAAACCACTTTCTTTCAATTCAAAAAGCCCAACTTTTTTTCTTTGTTCTTCCTATTCACGTTCTTACTATTATCATTCACAACCATGACCGTAACGTCCCAAACTTCACCACCGGACTCGGGCCCTGTGGTCCCCACAATCCCGCTAGTCAACTTCCTCGAACTCGTCCAAGAGACCGCACTCACCGCCTTCGGCCACAAAAACTTCGACCCGAAACTCTACGTCGACGTGTCCTTGAAATTCAATCTCTCGGCCACTAAAGATGCGTTTCACAAGTTGCCGAAGACCGACAACGGTTCGGTTTCGGCCGGTGATTTGAAGGGGTTTATTGCGGAGTACTTGAATGGAGCGGAGGAGGACTTGGTTTATGCTGAACCGGTGGACTTTGTGGCCGAGCCGGAAGGGTTTTTGGCCAAAGTGGAGAACCGGGTAGTGAGGGATTGGGCATTAGAGGTTCATTCGCTTTGGAAGAGTTTGAGCCGGAAAGTTTCGGACCGGGTTTTGGAGAAGCCGGAATTACATACTCTGCTTCCTCTGCCTAAGCCGGTTATGATACCAGGATCGAGGTTCCGGGAGGTTTATTATTGGGATTCGTACTGGGTAATAAGGTTAGATTGATTTGGGTTTTTGTTCTGTTATTTTTCTGCTTCTAATTTAATGTTTAGTTCTGTTTGGTTACTGAGAAAATTGGCGAGAAAAAGAATTACGTTTTAAGTTGACTAGAGATTGACTCAGAAGGAAGGATTGATTAGATTACACAAATTATGATTGTTGAATAGTATTATATATCATAAATTTGGTAACTTTTAATACTCGTAAGATAATTTTTTGAAGTATGCACAAATGACAAAACCTATTCTTATTTAATCTTAATTACTTGAGGATGTGATACATTGTATCAAATTTACATCACATTGTAATGCATCACTAACAATACAACATAATATAAATAGTCTCACTTCTGTAGGCTTGCTCAGTTTCAGTTTTCTGTTTTTGTAAAACTGAAAAGTAGAAACAATTAGAAAATTCGTTTCTTAACTAAACCAAACAAGCCTAACTCTATTTCTTTTCTTTCTTATCCAACTTTTTTTTTTTTTTTTTTTCTTTCGTTGTGGTTCATAACCAAACATGGTACACTCATGGGCCTTAATTTTACTTACATATGGTGCTCTCATTTCACCATAATTGCAAAAGTTGTGATGTTTGATTTAAATTTGTGTCTTAAGTTGTTTGAAAAGGCAATGCTGGTTCAGTTACGAGTCCAGTGGTTGGTTAGACAGAGGCACTCATGGACTTGTATATCAAGGATCATTTAAGAAATTAATGGTTCTCTCTATTGAAATTGAAATTCATTCTTCTGCTATATGTTTTACTTCTTATATTTGCAATTGTTTCACATAGTTCCCTTCTCAACCGTCTTTCTTATCGGGTCAATTATATAATTTGTGGTGCAGGGGCTTGTTAGCAAGTAAAATGTATGAGAGTGCAAAAGGAATCGTGATTAATCTCATTTCCCTTATAAACGAATTTGGACACGTTCTTAATGGTGCAAGGGCATATTACACTAATAGGAGGTAAGTACATTTCAAAAGTTGTACACCTCGAATTTTGCTGATTTCTTAGAAGCTTAGAATGAGAGGTTAAATGTTTGTCAAATATACATAAACATCCTTTATTCTCTTATTGGAATTTAAATATTCTTTTTCTTTTACCTGAGACAAATTATAGATTGATATTCTATACATAAACACCCTTTATTCTCTTATTGGAATTTAAATATTCCTTCTCTTTAACCCCAGACAAATTATAGATTGATATTACTTGTTTTTCTGAATATAGCCTCAGTTTCTGCATATTGCACAGTTCTGTCCCTTGGTCAATATATATTTCTTCATGAAGGTAAATTTATGCATTACACATTTCATATATTTGCTTAGGCATGCTGGGCTCCTTAAACCTAGTCTTTTCAGCGTAATGAACAACATATCTGATATGGTAATTACACAGGTTACATCATCAATAGTCCACTATAGCTTATTTGCATCGCAGTAAAAATGGTTTTGGATTTGAAAGTTTCCACAGTGAATTGCTGAGTGTTTATCTTTAGGTGTTTTGAGGGGTCTTTTCGTCCATGTTTGCTTTCAATTGTCTATATTCTTGAAGTTAAACTATCCGTTTGGTGGGATTTTTTGCAGCCAGCCACCCCTCCTAAGTTCTATGGTTTATGACATCTACGATAGGACCGGTGATATGGACTTTGTTAGGAAATCTCTCCCTGCCTTGGTCAAAGAACACAGATTTTGGAATACAGGTATCAACTATGAAGAGATTTTTCTCTCTGGTTCCTCGGAATGTTTTTTTTTTCTCTTGATTATCACTTTATTTTTTAGTTTAGTATTGACTACTGCAACTTATATAACTTGTGCTTGCCTATATAGTTATTTGGTTCATTTTCTGTCCACATAAAGTATTAGTATTTACTTGCTGTCTTCTGTAAATATTATTTTAGGAATACATAAGGTGACCATTCAGGATGCTCAAGGATGCAATCATACTTTAAATCGGTACTATGCAATGTGGAACGAACCCAGACCAGAATCTTCAACTATTGTACGTCCTTCACTGTGCTTGCCTGCCTAAGGAACAAATCATAGGATAATATTGGTGTTATATTGTGGAGAGTATGAGATATGGTTATTTGATAAATTTGGGGCTTATTGAGGAAAATGTTGGCATTTGTCATTTGATAACTTATATTTCTTCTCACAGGACAGGGAAACTGCTAGCAAGCTCTCAAGCGTTTCTCAGAAGCAGCATCTTTATCGAGAACTGGCTTCAGCAGCTGAATCTGGATGGGATTTCAGTACAAGATGGATGAGGTAAGATATTTTACTTTGGGATTTTCTTTTTTACTTGGGAGTTGTCTGTCTTACATAATACTCCTATACTACTCATCATTACTATATCTTTTTTCTTTTTCTTTTTCATATTATGTCAATAACATATATTAAAATTTCATCTTAATTACCAGACAATGAGACATTATGTATTTTCACATAGGTCCTCAGCTCAAATTACATGCTTCCCGAGCATGAACCATATTACATGCTTCCCGAGCATGGACCATATTTAAGTGACACTCGTAGAAGCTCAATTAAAAATCAAGGCCAAATCTCAGGGGCTCTGGGCGAAGTCAAGTTTGGGATTTAGGACTACTTGCATATTGAAAAGTTAAGGTATGATTGATTAGGTGTCTTGTTGCAGGAATGCATCCGATCTCACGACATTGGCTACAACATCAATTTTACCTGTGGATTTGAACGCAATCATACTCAAGGTACAATTTTAAAAAATTCAATAATATTGTGGTTGCATTCTGTGATTTGTGCTCTTTGTTTGACAATTGTTTCTGCATCTTTTTGTCTAGATGGAACTTGACATAGCCTTCTTGGCAAACTGTATTGGAGAGAGTAGCATTGCTCAACGTTTTAGCGAAGCTTCTCAAGCAAGACAAAAGGCAATGCACTCTGTTTTCTGGAATGCAGAGATGGGACAGTGGCTTGATTATTGGCTTAGCAGTAGCACTTCATGCAAGGTATCATCTATACCTTCAGTCAAAGACAACATGTCTCGTAAATATGGAAAATTTGTATGATTTTAACGAATTCTCAATTTTGATTTTTCAGGATTCTTACACATGGGAAGCTTCAAATCAGAATAAGAATGTATTTGCTTCAAACTTTGTTCCCTTGTGGATTGGGTTGTTTAATTCAGGTTTGTGATATTCAATTCCCAACTTGTGATTTTGTATGTAGTATATACCAACGCTTGGTGTGCTAATAAGCTAAAATTGGACTCGCATTGAGTTCTTGGTTGAATTTGTTTCATATTCATGATTGAGCTCCATCTAAGTTCAGATATATTCTCTCAATCTTAATTATGATAAAATGTGTTTGTTGATTGGTTTAATTGTGACTGATGAGTTCGTTCACAAGTGTTGAAGAACCTAGGAAACTGAAGTAACAGGAATAGCCTTGGACAGCCTCAACAAACTACCCCCACCCAAAAAAAAAAAAATAAATAAAAACTTGATTTTCATCTAATTTCTAACCCCTTCTCCATTTCGGTGGTAAGAGAGTGATAATTGATTGATAGAGACCCTCAACAATTGTGATGTATGGCAAAAACTTGTCAAGTCCTCATTACATTACTCTGTCTATATACTTAAATCTTATATTTCTTAATGTGTTCTGTTATTTTGTTCGACGAATTGTTACTTTATTGGATATTTACAAACTGAGTACAAGCTCGGGGGTGCTTGAGTCTGGTTTGTAACAATTTTTAACATTGATCTAAAGCACCACTGAGCCTCTCTGGACTGGTGAAGAAGTCAAGCTTATACTACTCACGAGTCCGTTCTTTTCTGTGAAGCAATACAATATGGTGACACTAAATACTAGGTAGGGAATTTTGTTCTCTTACAGAAACTATGATTTAGCCTTTCCTGGTACCTTGCTCTTGCTGGTTTTAACTGTCCTTAGAAATTATAGAATACCCCCAGAAAGTATTGAATAGGTAGCATCAAATGATATTTCAACCTTCCAATGATTAATAGAAATTCAGTTGGGGCTTTTATAGAAATTACTTTAGCTACCTAAGCGCATAATGAATATTGCTCTTATATTGATGAGTTATAATGAGATGCTTCCCCTTGTATTTATTTGAAGATGTTTCGCTGGTGGAGAAAGTTACTCAAAGTCTCAAATATTCGGGCCTGGTCCATGCTGCTGGGATTGCAACTTCTTTGACAAATTCAGGACAACAATGGTAAGTGAGCTGTGTGTTGAGGTCTACTTGGGAGGGAGAAGAAATATTCTCGAATTTTTTTTTTTTTTTTTTTTTGCTTTTTCATTTTTCTCTTTGGTCTATGATCTAATAAAACGTGCTTTGAACAGGGACTTTCCCAATGGTTGGGCGCCGCTTCAGCACATGATAGTTGAAGGTTTGGTAAGATCTGGATCCAAAGAAGCAAGATCATTCGGAGAAGACATTGCTATTAGGTGGACCAGAACCAATTATGTTGCTTACAAGAAAACGGGTACAATGCATGAGAAATACGACGTCAAAAAATGTGGAGAATTTGGAGGTGGAGGTGAATACGTACCTCAAGTAAGTTTTCATCACCATCAGCTTTTGGTAATCCACCATTTATACATACAAGCCTAACATTAACAAAGAAATTCATGGATGAGTAGTCCCAAACTCGATTTGCAAGAACGACTTTTTTTGGTTTATAAGATATCCATTAACCAAGTTCAGATGCATTGACATGTTAAACACAAGTTTTGACCATATGTATTCTTTCTTTTTCTCTGTACATATCCTTTTAATAGGATTATAGGAACAAGTTCCTTGTCATGTTTACTTGGTAGATCTTTTGTTATGAATTTACTGCTAAAAGGGAAATGCCCTATCAATTTGCTTGGACTGAATTAAATCTGTTTCTTGTATGTTACAACACAGACGGGCTTTGGGTGGTCGAATGGAGTTGTATTGGCATTCTTGGAGGAGTTTGGATGGCCTAAGGACCTGAAGATCGATTGCTAGCGAGCTAGGGAATTGAAGACATGCCTTCAGACATATTTGAATTATATAACAGATTTCAGTTTCACGCAGAAGATTAAAAAAAAATAATAATTAAAAAAAAAAAAAATTATTTATAGAGCAGGGTTTCCAATTGCAACCCAAAAACAAGTGGGGAATTTCTGCATCATATAGATAGATATAGGATCTATGGGGCAATTATTTAGAAATACATTTTCTGCAACAGCCCTTGATTGAAAAGGATCCCATGATCCTGAACTGATCTTACCTAGGATCGCAAATCCCAAGTTTGTCTATGAAGAATGGATCTTGTGTTTGTGTCTATAATTGATTTATTGATTTCTTCCCTCTAATATTAATAGATAGAGTCTCATTGGTAGGTGCTACAAGATCTAGTGCGTGATTTTTTGGATAGCTATTTGTTCAGCTTCCCTTAATTGATTAAAATAAAATTTTAATTTATTTTTTAATACATTTTACTGTCAGCCAATGAGCAATTATAATGTTTTGGGTAATACCAATTTTTAGTATATTAATTAATTAAACAGCTTGAATTGGATTTATGCTTGATTTTATTTCAGGTAAAATATATGACGGTGATGTTATAACTTGCACTGAACAAAGGTTAACCCGACTAAATTTTAATCTGTGTAGGGGTTACATGCCATAAGTGACCAATTTTAATATCTAATTGTGTAGACAAAATAGGATGAGAATTGTAATTATGTGTAAATATATATCATTTTTATGAGCCATAATTAATTGCTCAATATTCTCTTATTAGAACTAAAAACAAAGCAGAGGTTGGTTAGCTTTTGGAGCTTATGACCACTAGATCGCGTTGATAAGAAACATTTATCATATTTATTGTCATCCTCCACTTAATGGACAACTTGAATGCATTTATAATTAATGGTTAATCTACATAATTCTATACTTCTCTACTACGTTCTCTATTTATACACCATCACAACTCTCTGATCCTCCAATACTCTCTCTGGAAGATTGTAGAATGTATAATTCTACACTTGTCTTGCCAATCAGATGTTATGTAGAGCGTTTCTCGGTTCCTCTAACAACCAAAGTCGAATATCTACACAAAGCACAAATTAAAATTGCTTCTATACTTGTCTTGCCAAATAGAAGTTATGTAGAGTGTTTCTCGATTCCTCTAACAACCAAAGTCGAATATCTACACGAAGTACAAATCACAATTGCTATTGAAAAAAAAAAAAATCGCAATAAACAAAGTAAATCAATCTTAAACATGCACTTGGTTGATAATGATTCAAAAAAATTAATTTTATACCACTTTTAAGTTTTACTTTTGAAAATATTACCTCAACCGAATCTAATAAATATGTTAATAGTATTAACATCGTCGACATCGAATCTAATAAATGTGTTAAAAGTATTAACATCGTCGACATCAAATAAGTCTCACTTTAATATAAGTTGTAAGATTCTATATTCTTGTTAGACTCTCAATTAAGAGTGATGTAAGATCGAATTAAAAATAGAGAAATACTAAGGACAATAGCTAAGGTGAAGGCTAATTATTATTATTGGTAAATAAAATTGTAATTAATGAAGATATTAATTACAAATTTTTTACTTTTTATGGAATGTTAAAACTATATTTTTGGACAAAACAGCCCTTTTAAGCCTTTCATCAGTCTCCTCAGTTATCTTTTATCACTTCGTGAAGTTTACATATATAGTGTATATATGTATATATATATAAAGCTTTACTTTTCTTTTCAACCATGAATTCATATATATATATAAATAGCTAACAATATGGGAGTATATGAATTCATGGTTAAGAGGATTGCATATATATATATATATATATATAAATTGGCATACGGACCTAACAAAGAAAAAAGAAAAGAAAAGTAACCCATACAGATCTAATAAGGAAAAAAAAAAAGAAAAAAAGAAAAGAAAAGTAATGCTTTATATCCGTAGTGTTCAATTGTTTCCTGGGAGCAAGAAATTATATACTCACTTTTAATTGTAGCCTTATGATCTAATCCTACAACAATTAGTTAATTGACTTTTATTTTCTTTATTTTAAGAAACTTACATTTTCTTTCCATACCATTAAATATTTTTAAAGAAAAATGATAGAATTGGACAATTTATTAAAGGAAACAAAAAATAAAATAAATTGGCTACTTTTTGCCAAATTCGCAAGCAGCCACTGAGACGAAGTAAAATTTTCATTTTTAGTTTTTTTTTTTTTTTTTGTCCACATTTTATCAATTCTATTGATAAATTATGAAAAAACTTAGGATTTGCAATGATATTATACATATTTTGGCATGTTTTTACCGATCAACACTTTGAACATTTAATTTAGCAAAAAAAAAAAAAAATTAAAAAACATTGAAAACATTTAAATGGATATATAATAATATATTAAGAGTTGTTTTGCAGGATCTTTCTAAAAAATTTATGAAGCCACTAGTCTCCTAATTCTAAATTAGTTGCTTAACAAATTCAAAATATTTTATTAAGCTGAGTATAAAACATGAATCAATCTTGAAATTTGAGTTGTAATTATAATCAATACTTCTCAAACAATCTTTATTTAATGTCCATTTTATTTATCTCTTTTGATTAATTTTATTTGGTTTCTATTGCTGCTTGCAAATTTGTTGAATTTAATAAACAATCGGTAGTGATGGGAAAGTATTTTTTTACTGGAAAGAGAAACCCAGGCAAAAAAGTAGCCAAATTATTTTATTTTTGTTTCCTTTAATAAATTGTCTAATTCTGTCATTTTTCTTTAACGATATTTAATGGTATGGAAAAAAAATATAAGTTTCTTAAAATGAAGAAAATAAAAGTCAATTAATTAATTATAAGTTTCCTAAGGATACAATTAAAAGTGAGCATATAAGTTCTTGCTCCAGTGAGCAATTGAATACTATTGTGCTTTATATATATATATGTATATATGCATATATCTATATATACATATATTGGTATATGGATCGAACATTTATACAGTTTATATGTAAACCTCATCAAGTGAGGTTCAATTCAACTGCGTAAGTTTGAAGTTTCAAAAGTGAAAACTGAGGAGATGGATAAAAGGCTTAAAAGGGCTGTTTTGTCCCAAAAAAAAATAGTTTTAACATTCCATAAAAGCTAAAAATTTGTAATTGATGTCTTCATTAATTATAATTTTACTGACCAATAAAAATAGCGACGAGTGTGAATGCGCAGTCGCTAAAGCGACTGTCCTTAGCCTTCTTCCTCTTAAAAGTAAGTATTTATTAAATGAATAGTTTATAACTTTTCATTTTTTTCGAAAATAATGATGGTTGGGGGATTGAATTTGACAGAATTTAATTCATGTAAAAAAGGTGGTGGGTTTATTACATTACCTTAAGGTGACATCATATGATAGATTCACCACACTTTGCTTAAATCAAATTCAACTATTGAATTCAATCCTTAAATTATTATTTTTCTTTCAAACTCTTTTTATTTCTTTTAAACTCTTCCACGTTGCTAGTTCGGAAACATTTTCTTGGTACCCAACAATGCAAGCCGCTCTTAGAAAAATGACAAAAAAAAGTTTAATTTGATAGATGACCATTGGTGCACTTTGATGATGCTTTATATTGTGGCTGGCCAACTGCTGGAATTTTTGAATTTGTGTAATTTTCTAGCATGTATTGTTGTTGATAATTAGAGATATCAATTTAAGCAGTCGATTGGCGCCTCATCTTGTCCCGCTTTTATTGGAAGAGATTTGGGATGATTCTAAACCTCAAAATCCAAAACCCTGGTTTAGTAATTAATATATAAATAAATATTCTTTTATTAACTAATTTTTTTTTTTTTTTCTTTATTTCTTATGGTAGTTTTATATTTATATTGATAGGATGGGTTTCAAAAAAGAGTCCGGCCCAAGCCCATTCTGTTGACATCCTAATTGCAATTTGCATCCAAATTTGTCCAAAAAAGAACTTTCAAATTTTCTCCTTCAAAATTCATCCCAATGGATATAATAATTGATGTTATTACCAACTAGAGTTATTGCCTTTTCTTCTGTTGCTTCTCCTCCTCCTCCTCCTCCTTACTGTCTGGTATATGTCAAATTGCTTTGATCTGATAAGAAGTTGATTCCATGAAAATATGGATATAAACTGAAATAACCAACACCCATAACACTCCTCTCCTTGGTCTAAATCACCTATTTTCCTGGATTGGCAAAACATAGAAGTAGATATCTTAGATATTCATCCATATCTCTACTTTGCAGTCATTAATATTTTGGTTCTAGTATATTTATCATAGTTAGTAAATTACGGTACGAAAAAAATACGGGTACGAAAACATACGAGTATAATTTAATATTTTTTTAAAATATATTTAAAAATTGGGCAAAAAAATACGAAAACGTAAAAATATGAATACGAATATGTACGTATATAATACGTTATATACTCTAAAAATTTGAAATAAAAAATTCGGCTATACACATCGTATTATTTTTATATATATATATTTTTAAGGACAATAAAGAATATGTAACAAATAATAAAATAAATATATTACAATTGACACTATCACAATAATCATAAAAAAAAAAAATTCTTAAGTATATAATGTAATATTCTACTAAAACATCTAAGGAGTGTGGTGATCTACAAACTTCTAGAATAATAATAATAATAAATATATTAACAAAATTTAATAGATCTCACAACAAAACAAAAAATTTATAAATATCTACAAACATTAATAAAAACTTATGATTCTTCAAGTGTTCCACAAATATATATATATATATCTTTCATTGCTAGAGATTGCACAATAAATAATATTATTTTGATGGCTTGAAAGATAATGGCTATACGAAGCAAAAAAGGGTAGAAAAGACAATAGTTTGCACAACAAATAATATTATTTTAATGGTTTAAAAAATAATGGTTATATCAAGCAAAAGAGGGTAGAAAAGAGAATAGTTTGTGTTTCAGAAAAATACGTTATTAAAAACGTGAAGTTCGTAAATGAAAAAAAATAATAATTAAGTTACGAATTAAACGGAGTAACTAAAACGAATAAACGAATAAACGCGTTAAATACGGAGAAATGAAAAAAAAAATCGTATTTTACCGTATCTTTCAATTCTAATTGACAAACGAAAGTATTTTTTTAAAATTTATATGTACACGTTTAATTCGCGTATCATACGCGAATTAACTAATTAGGATATTTATAACTTGATTGATCCACAACTTTGAATCCTGCAAACTTCAAATAATAAAGGTTTATCTAAAAGAAATACATGTCATTCAGAGGTTTTAGCACCATTATTGAGCA